AAGTAGGGTCGAATCCACAGGGAAACGAGTCTTTTTATTCCTAATTAATTAATATAATCTAGATTATAGAGTAACAAATTATTATTATCGAAGGGAAACTAAACTACTAAGAGTAAAAGTGGGAAAGAATAAAAGTAGGAGGAGAAACAATGAATAAAAGGCCTAGGGTATAGGTTCACCAATAAATAATATTTCAGGGTAAAACATAAAAATCAATCATCAATGCATACATTAATCAGATCATAAAGGGCTTTCGCTACGTATTACAATCACACAACTAATTTACCGGTATTAAATCTCATCTCTCGAATCTCGACTTAACCATTTATAAATTAACCTGCCTATTGAAACTAGACCTAAACATTAATTCTCATCTGTCGAATCTCGAATCAATATTGTCAAACTCATGCATAAAAGATCTGCGCAAATCTAGTCATAGAGCATTAAATCAATCAATAGGAAATTAATCTAGCATTGACAATTAACAACAATAAATTACCCCTTCATATTATTTATGGATCCCCATAAACCCTAGAAAGAAAACTACTTACACATAATTAAATATAAAATAAACAAAGCAATTAAAGGAGACATGATGAAAGAAAGAAAATAAATAACTGAGATTAAACCAAGAGTTGTAGAGAGAGAAACAAAAGAGAAAGAAATACTAAGAGATTAATTAAGAGAGAGAGAAAAGTTAGAGATAGAAAGAGAATAAAAACATAAAACAAAGTAATAACAATAATTAAAAACTAAACTAAAAAACTCATCTAAAACTACCTGATACTCCGTACTCCCTTGTTCAAAGAAAAGTTAATGGCCACCAATCCCACTAACAATCCAACTCCTAACAAAATCTTTTGTAAAGTCTAAGAGGCAAGTCATGCCCTACGTAAAAACCAAAGCTATTGGGTTGTTTTGCATCAAGGTCCAACCGAATCAAAGTAGCAGCAATAATCAGTCTCTGGATCGGGCCTGCTATCCTTACACCCAACAGACTCGCAAGATTGGATCTTGTAACTTGAATTGGGCTGGTTCAAAATTTGAGCCTAACCACCTCTTTGGACTTGGCTGTAATACTAGCTTGTAAAATTTGGACTCTTCACCAATTGAGCCCTTAATCACTGAATTAAATTCCTCTAACTCGGTCTTGGGCTTAAAGTATTTGTTCATAAAATACGATCCGACTCCATTGTCTTTGTAGTGGCTCAATAAGCTCGGGAATTGTCATAAAAATGCAAATTCCTACAAAATAATACCAACTCTACAAAAACACTAGAAAGCGTATATTAGTAGTAAAAATAGCTCCGCATAGCTCAAATAAGCACAAATATGACCATGGGACAGGGAATAAATATATATATAAAATAGACTCATCAAGACCCTAGTAGAAAGTGCCGCGAGGGGACATTTCCTGCCCAGAAGAGCCGGTTCCTGGTTGTATCGGCGCAGTGTCCGGTTGTGTCTCAAGGTTGGAGAAGAAATCAAATAAAACTTATCTTTCCACACTGACCACTTGGACACCTTGTCCAAACTCATTAAGTATTGGGGAAAGGTAGAAAGAGTGTACCACGCCCCATGATCGCCTGGTGCCTTGCTCAAGTAATGCATATGAGCGAAGGCGGAGAAGCTGGGAGCTAAGTTATGGAGCTCGCAGGAGGCAATGTAGCTTAAAATGTTCACCCATGAGTTGGGGGTGAGCTGCCAAACTCCCATATCATACCCCTTTAAGATTTTCCTAATTCCGGTATGGAGGGGGAACCGGAGGCCGGCTTCTATAACCGCCTTGTAGCAGACGAAATAGTGGTCTGCATTCTCAATCTCATCGTCCCACGCCATCATTGCATCAGCAGGCGGGACGATAATATCTCACCCCTTTCCAAAGAAGTGCTTCTCCTTGAAAGCCCTGAAGCCACTCTTCAAAAGGGTATGTCACCCGAAAGCATCCTAATCTTCTTCGGGTTGGGGTTGTCAGCAACTTTCGCCAGCTGCTGATAGTCAGCCGCGAAGTTATCCTGATCGGAGCCAGAAGTTTCGGCCCTCGATCTTTCATCGGCCTCATTACCGCCGGATTCATTAGAGGAGGCGGCTTCTTCACCGCCTACCTCCCGTACGCCAGAGCTCCCGGAAGAAGAGGGAGCCTCTTCATCAGAGTTGCCGCTCTCCTCCAAATCCTCATGTTCCCCATTCGGAACAACCTCATCGGCTGACACTTCCATAGTGCACCGGCTCTTAGACTTTCTGGCCGTCTGTTTGACTCTGGCCATTGTTCCTGCACAGACACAGAGAGGGAGGAATTCGGAGATGAGCACAGCAATTCCGACAGTCCAGAAAAGGCACCCCCTGTTCTAGACTCAGCTGTTCCGAGAGACCGGCTGAGTGTCCTGGGCAGTGCCGAGTGTGTGGATTGAGAACTCATTTTATTTCTAAAACTATGTATACAGGCGGAAAAAGAATGTATACAAGTTGAAAAAGGAAAACTAAAAATGGTACAGGTGGTTACCTTGCTTTAGCTCTAAAAAAAAATCTGAAAACAGCTACAGACGGTTGACCGCGTGTTGCAAAGTTAGCACACGAAAATCCTGAATATTCTGATGCAGACGGAAGCAGAGAATCTCTCTCTAAAACTCTCCTTTTTCTCTCTCTAGAAAAGTCAAATGAAAGTGAAGTGAGAGAAAAGGGGGGGGGGGTAAACTTCTATTTATAGAAGGTAAAACGGGGGCATCCCCGTTTGAATTTCAAATTTCACTATCCGTTGTTACTGTTCACCCTTGATGGATGGACGCGTGTCACAAGCGTCATGTGACATGCGCATGACCCCTGTGAGGGGCAAATGTTTAGGTTAAAAAATACCCTAGACATGTGGACCAATGAGAGGAGGCCACGTGGTGAGTTCAAGATGGCCCAAGTGTCCAAATACCCTCTTGACACGTGGCCCCTTCAGATAAGCTCCTGAAATGGCGGCCTTCAAGGGCCCAAATCCCAAGAAGCGCCGTAAACCGGCGCATCCCACTAAAATCTAGGTCAAGTGACCTAGATAAGGGCACACTCTCCAACGACCCTATAAATAGGGAGATATTTCCCCATTTTGGGAACACATTTTGAATCATTTATTACACCTACTTTCTCTCTCATAAGAGAAACACCTGAGCTTGGAATCCGAGCAGATCCCCACCTAAATTTCCAAACTCTCTATTCTTCTTCAAGTTACTAACTTGATCGTCGGAGGCGGAGCTCCACCACCCGGAGTCTCCGTTGTTTTTGCAGGTACAGCTCAGCCGGACCAATCTTTGTGACGTAACTCTCCCGAGGGACAAAAACACCCAAAACAGTAGTAGTAGTAGTAATAGTAGTAGTAGTAGTAATAATAATAATAATAATAATAATAATAATAATAATAATAATAATAATAATAATTAATATTTAATAATAATAATAATAAATAAATACTAATAATTAATATTTAATAATAATAATAATAGTACTAATAATAATAATAATATTAGTAGTAGTAATAATAATAATAATAATAATAATAATAATAATAATAATAAAATCTGCTCTACTCTGCTCGGCTCGGCTCTGCTCTGCTCTGCTGAAATCTGCTCTGCTGTGCTGAAATCTGCTCTGCTCTGCCCAGAAGCTCAAAAGAACAAGGCTTAAATGTGGTTGGGAGAGTGGTTTGGTGAGGAAGTAGAATGAACATGAGTAGCACGTAAAACACCATTCATTAGTGGAAAAAAGGTCATCCGTAACGGGCAAAAAGGGCCCATTCGTAATGGGCAGCGTCCGTTACATATGCGGCCGTTACAGATGGCCATTGTTATTCGTAACGGGCACTGTCCGTTACGAATAATGGGTTATTCGTAACTGACATTTCAAATGTTCATTACGAATAACCCATTATTCGTAACTGATATTTTGAACTTATTTACAAATGAAGTAGAATGCAATTGCTGGGTGTTTCATCTTAGAGTGAATGTGTGTTTGATTATATTATGCCATTTTCAATGTTTTTTTGAAAGGATATTATGCCATTCAGTTAGGTTTTGTGTTGTTATCATGGCAATAAAGTTGCTTTTAAGTACATGATGTCTTACTCAAGAAAAAATAACTAAAGACTAGAAATAACTTTAAGGTATCATAAATAACGCAGATAAAAGTAAAAAATAGACAAAATTATATTCATTGTTGAGTGCAGGATGGGGCAAGGCAGGGTAGTTGAGACGGATTTGGAGCAGGTGCAACATGAAATCCATCCCTATCCTCATCCCCATGATGGATACAAGATTTATCCATGTCCCCACTCTATCCTTGCCAAACTTGAACCCATCCCTACCTTAATGGGACGGGTCTACTATTTAACTCGTATTATTGATAACCTTATAATTAATTGCATAGATAAATTCAAAAAAGAATACAACACCTAATAGATAAACGAAACAAACTCTGAGTTTAATTTAACGTTTATTCACCATAATTGGGGCAAATTGGTAAAGCAACCAAACCAGCAACTCTAGAGATGCAGTTAGATAATAAACGACTTTTTACTAGTATATAAATAAAAATTACACTATTAGTGATTTTACTCATTTAGCACCTCATTAGTCTACCGTTATAGCTTTAATAGGTAATTCAATCTTAGCCTATAATTACAAAATAAACAAGGGTCATGATATTTTGATGGTAATAAAAAAAAAATCAACTAATATATCTGCCTTTAATGAAGCATTCCGCGCGAAAGCAACCTATGCCTTGACCAAAGATCCTTCATCAGCCGGACAACAACTTTGGCGCCAACAAACGATGTTATCTTGTCACTAGCATAATAGTTAACCCCATTTGAGAGTCGTTAGCTTACCTCTTCAACCTTTTTAGACTTACCAATTGATTGGTACTTGTTTGTTGTCTCTTTTTTCTTTAATGAAGTATTTTGTAATCTATAAAAAAAAGTTAATTTAGGCATCGCTCGAGCCAAAAATTACTATAACCGGGAAGAAGTTGACTTGAGTGACCCGTAGGATACCTGAATGACGGTTTTGCCAAGTTTTATTAATTCCAAATTTCCAAGTATAGGTACTCCAGTGCTCCGCTAGCAGTTCACAATTGTTTTTGGGTTTGCCAAAAGACCTCAAAACCTAAATTCCTCTCCATTTTCTGGCGGATTTTGTGCAAATTCATACTTTTCCAGAAATCAAATTCAGAAACAATTGTCAATCGCTCTTAGGTAATTTGTTGTCTTACTTTTGTTTGATTGCCCCATCTTTGAACTGGTTCTAATTTACATTTATCAGCAACAATTTTCAATTTATTGGTATGATAATAATTGTCGAATTATTATTATTGTATTTTAAATTTTGATAATTATTGTTCATTTGATTTTCAGATTAATTAGTTTTTGGTGTAGTTCGTCATATGTTAATTCAAATTCTTGAGTAATTTGTTGAATTAATTCATAGGATTGAGTTGTTTGTATGCTCCATTGTTAATATAAGTGGGAATTTTTTGTTTTTCTTCTAATTAATGTAATTAAATATGAATGTAATTGAATATATGCGCATCTTAATTTAAATTTTCTGATTGAAATTTGAATAATTCTGTATAATAATTAGGGGCATCAGTCACAATGTCAGGCAGAAACCCTGGTCCGCCATTGCCGATGAAGAACTTGCCTCATGGAAGGATTCCGTTTCCACCCCATGAACCGCCATATGGCCGAAATCTTGGTCCGATGCCTCACCCTGCACTTCTTGAGGAAATGAGGGAGAGGGAATCCCAGTTTGGGATGGGCCCTAGGTCACTACCCCCTCATCCTGCTATCCTCGAGGAACGTCTCGGAGTTCAGCTTCAAGAAATTCAAGGTTTATTAGTCGATAACCAGAGGGTTGCTGCTACCCATGTTGCATTGAAGCAGGAATTAGAAGCTGCTCATTACGAGTTGCAACGAATGTCCCATTATGGTGATTCCTTTCACGCAGAAAAGGATATGCAGATGAGAGAAATGCTTGACAAGGCTGCCAAATTGGAGATGGAACTTCAAGCAGCAGATGCAATGAAGGCTGAACACATGCGGGTTCAATCTGACATTAAAGAACTTACTGTCGTGAGGCAAGATCTTATGGCTCAGGTCCAGAGAATGAACCAGGATTTGACTAGATTTTCTACTGATTTACAGCAAGTTCCGGCATTGAAAGCTGAAATTGAGCATATGAGACAGGAGGTTGACAGAGCAAAGTATGGAGCTGTTTTTGAGGGTCTTGTAATATTACATATGTTTATTTATACAAGTCTTGAATGCTTGTTTTGGCTTCTTTTTGTAATATAATTGGGGGGTTTGCAGGGCTGCTATTGAGTATGAGAAGAAAGCATATGCTGATAGCTATGAGCATGGCCAAAAGTTCCAGGCCAAAATGCTCTCAATGGCTAGAGAACTAGAAAAGCTTCGGGCAGAGGTTGCTAATGCAGAGAAGAGAGCACGTGCTGCTGCTGCTGTTGGCAATCCTGGTATGATTGTTTTGGAAGGTCTAATTTATTTGAGCATTGTAAGAATGGTGCTTTTGTTTTTTGATTAGCTAATGTATGAGGCTAATAGTATCTTCAGTTATTGGATAAGGTTTTCAATAGCGAGGTTTTTAATTTTCAACATTTGGATGTTAGATATGATTAAAAAATTATCACGATGAGCTTTTAATAATTCAGTTTATGTATTCAGTGCTCCCCTCTCTCACACAATGTTTGTGCACGTTGCTTGTCTGAAAATGCCTCTTGTCTAGTAAATCAGCCAAACTTAGTTCATTTCTTTGTTTATCTTAGGAGCAGCGGCAGGTTATAACACCACTTATAGCACACCTGAAGCTGGATACGCAGGAAATCCCTACCCAGCTGGCTATGGAGTAAACTTAGTAAGTTTTCTTACTGAGATTTTATAATTTGGTGTGCTCTGTGATGCTTTTATGCAATGTTGCGTTTTTGCTGTTTACAAAGATCATGTAGCTTGGTTTTCGGCGTTTGATTTACAGACACAGCCTGGTATGGAAAATTATTCTCAATATGGACCTGGGCCTGGCAATTGGGGAGCATATAACATGCAACGTGGTCAAGGGCATAGATGAAGTGGCTTGCAATTATCTGATGATGCAGAATCCTGTTTTGTTTTGCATGCTGGTCTCTTCAGCTCGAGCTTGATAGATGCATAAGTGTGACTGCGTGAGTAACTTTGAGGGATCCTTTTACAGAATATGGGGATGCTTCTTTACTAAGTATGTCATATTGTCATGCGGTGAAATATGTTGTCATTATATTGTCTTGTCCACGGAATATTAATTTCAGTTGGTAGTAAGGATAAGCTTTATCTATTTACAATTTCTGTTTCTCTCATTTCATTTGGTGACATGTGTTATGCGTTTCCATGTCTATATTCTTGTATAGCAGAGGTGACCTATTTGCTTAAAGTATTGGTTTCTCAGGCCTCATAGTTGATTCTGTTTCAAATAATTTTGCTGTTTATAATTGGACCACCGAAGATTTTAAAAAATTGTGTACATCTGATCTTGCTTCATTCCTTATGAGAGATTTGATTGTTGGATGCTGCCTTTAGATTTTCTAAAGAATTATTTTGTTTGATTCTTTGTTTACATCTTGTTCAGTGACGAGTGAAGATCAAGAAACTATATGCATCGGTGAACGGGTGAAGTCAGTTCCTTGGCTAGTTTATTGTATTTTTTGTTTTGCCTGTTTTTGTTAAAGTTGGCAAATGTTAACTTGACATGACGAGCCAGTCCATGCCTGACTTGGAAGTGGCTGGTTGAGTTAGGAGTTATTACCTTTCAATGTAAATGGGTTGATATGAGTTATTCATTTGACTCAATGGGATTAGTTAAGTATGGGTTAGTATAATTAGGCTAAACTTTGTTTGATTCTACCTATATCTATATAAGCAAATTCATTAAAATAATGAAACACAAGAAATTATAGAGATGGATCGTAACTTGGAATCATAAATAATTCTTAAACATACTTTTTGATTATTATTATTATTTTTTTTTTATAATTTTTAATAGTACTAATACTAAATATTTTAGGGAAGTGTATTAAAAACAAATGCCTTAGATGCTGAAGCCCAAGGTAATAAGGGTACGTGATTTCAATTGGCAAGGTGAAGTGTTTTCAATGCGCTAAAAAATACACAGTGAGGTGCAAATAAAGTGCATGGAAACTTATTTACTATCCCCAAAAGGAAAAAAATGTATTATATATAGCAGCACCTCATGCCTATGTTTTATGACTAGGCATTACAACCTCCTTTTGCTTTAAATTCTCAAAGTGTAACTGTAACTTTAGCTTCCTTTTTTTTTTCTTTCCTTTTTTTCTTTCTTTAAACATTGGATTAGATTTGTGTAACTGTTTTTTTTTTAAGATATGGGTTAGAGGTTAAAATCTCTCTCTCTCCCTCTCTCTCTCTGGTTTTTTTTTTTTTTTTTTTTTTTTTTTTTTTTTTTTTTTGGGGGGGGGGGGTGGGGTACAGAAACAAACCCTACCGGACAAGACTTGTTTGCCTACTCTAACGATTTTATACTATTTATGTCATGCACATCACCTTGATAGTAAAAAGGCTTAGTTCTTTGGTGTATTATAAACCTACTCATCTGTTTTGACTCCATGGCACCATAGTTTTTATATCTAACTCAGCAAAACATAATTTCTAGTTGGCAAGTGACCTTATTTATCTACGTAACCATATGTAAGGTAGATTGTGTATTGTACTCAAATGTGGCCATTTATTGGCAGGATAACAAGGAGTGACATGTCAAAAAAAACCTACAATTGTTAGTCATATGAATTCCTCACTGTCTTAAAAAAATAGTGAAATACAAGCAGGTAGATGCTAAATAGGCTATGACTACCTGGACAGCGTAAGGTTCTACTGTTTAGCTGTTAAACAGACTACAACACTCTTTTCTTTCTTTCTTTTTTTTTTTTTTTGATTGGGTTTTAATTTTAATTATATAGTTGTGCTTTTGATAATCCTGTGAATAGTGTAGTTGATATGGCTTGATGAAAGTTAAGATATCTATGGTCACTATCAGGTGGAGATTATAAACAGAAAATATTACAGCGCACACAATAATATTACAGCACACTGTAATATCTGACTAGGAGTCAGATCTGTATATCTATGCTCGAAGTCGTATTCTCCTACCCTTCACCCCTTTTGTTGCTCATATATTGGGTGAGATTTTTAAATTTGCGTTCTAGAAATTGCCTTGTTCAGTTTTTTACATAACAAATTCAAGAAAGACTACTTGGCGCTGATCTGCTCAAAGCTATTGGAGTTTGTATGGTGCATCTGGCCTTTTGCACAAAAAAGGATTCGCATGATACCTGTATTTGCTTACTATTTCCTTATTGTAAGGCCTGAAATCATTGAAGCTTTCTCATGTGGATCTTTGATGATCAATGTTGGGAGATGTTTGCTACTGCTATCTGGGTTTTGTACTTATATAGAAACAATCATATTGTATATGAGGTTATTCTTCCTCTTGTCAAGGTGGTTTGAAGTTCTTTATCACGAGGCTTGTATATACTTCCTCTAGTCAAGCTTTAGCTTTTGAGGTGGATACTTGAAAAATCTTAATTTTGTAGGCATTGCTTCATGATAGTTCTAGAGCATGTCAAAAAGAAAGAAAAAATGTCTTTCTGGCTCCATCTTTAGGCTTTAAGTTGATCTTCTGGTTATGCTGGTAGGATAGCTTTCTGGTAAAATTTAGGAGTCATCAATCATCTTACACTTGTTCTGTTGTAGTTTAGCCAGCATAAATGGCCTCAATTGCTATTGCACCTCATATATATCTAGGATTTGCCTAAGGCTAATTTCTTAGCTTCTATCACCCCGGCTATTTCCAGAAAGTCTTTGTACAGCTGAAAGTATCATGACATTTAGAGATAACCAATCATCCCTTCTATATATATTCTATCTAATACTTTAATGATTTAAGAGATCCCTATAGAAAATATGTTGGTGAGAGCTGAGAGCTGTCAGCTGTCAGCATGTGAGTAAATCTCAGCTCACATGTCAGCAACATATTCCCTTTCGGACCTGATAGTTTGTTCAGGCATCCATTTTGTTTGCCACTACATAATTAGAAACATGAACTAGCAATTTGCCGGTCTCATCTTCTGGATGGTGATGGCCATGTAGGTGCACTCAATATACTACACTCCCAAGTTTAAAATCCCATCAACATTTGACTTGCTTTGCTCTTCAGTTGGATTTATTATCTTCATCCTCTGGGGTTTATTGCTTAGTGATGCCAATAAAGACAAGCATATGATTGATTGGACTACGTTCAGACCTATTCTTGTCATAAGTTCAGTAGCAAAGTTGTCAGATTTTGTTTGCTGGAAGACATAAAATGATCATTGCCAAGATATTTATGAGCGTGAAGCAGCTGGATGAAGGATGGATATTTACAAGTAAGTGCCATAGTATTTAGCTGTATCACCATGATTTAGATATTGTCACATTTCATGGGATGCCTTGATTGTGTGTTCTTTATATTTTTAAAATCCGAATTTTTTCTTTCTTATTTGGTCCTACACTCCCTAGCAGCTTTTGCCTCCTAATGATTGTATTTATGTTTTCGTTTTTTATTGTCTGCTTTGTGGTTTCTTGATACCCGATTCTCGCATATGAGAATTTTTGTTTTGGATTGGTTTTGCTGCTAGTTAGCTGGTAGATGTTGTCATTAGTTGTGTACTTGTATTAATATTTTGAGTAATGGTTTAGTCAATTGGCTTATGAATGAGTTTGTTGTAATAGAAAATGCTCAAGAATGTTGGCAGCATTCTAGAATATTGTCGTGGAGCTGAAGGTTATATGTGAGTTCTCCCTTAACCTCAGAAACTTTGCCTGGCTATAAACCTTGATGAGAAGAAAAGGGGTCTGTCCAAAAAGAACAAAATATCTATCAAGAAGGTGAGACAGATTAGGTAGAGCTGGTGAAGAGAGGAAAGCAAAAGAGGATCAGAAGAAAGAAGAGAATGTAGATAAAGAGTGAAAAAGCCAATTAGGCGTGTTTTAATTGCTTGTTTGTTTGTTTGTTCGATTTGAGTATTCGTATGTTTTCCAGGTATGAGACCTGCATCAGACGTGGTTGAAGCTGACAGAGATTTATGTAGAGATAGTGGAGAGGAAATCTATGAAAAGAGGGTGAGGTGAGAGGATAGGATTGTGAGTGTAGAATTTAGAGGATAAATTTGATTCTGTATTTTGATGTTGGAACTTCCACCTGGAAAAGTCATTAATAATATGTTTTCTTTATTTAGTATTATAGAAACCCTTATTTGACTTGAAAATCCAAATAAAAAAAATTTAAAAAATATTCATCTCGGGAAAACTTATCAAGTTAAATGATGTTCACTCAATTAGGATTGTCTGGACTTATAAGTTGCTTAATAATCTTCTGTTGTTTATTGGTGTAGACTAACTACATCAAATTTCTAATAACACATTTCATGCTTGGCACTTTTTGCTTATGCTAGAAATTCTACTGTTCTGTGGATGTGTCTGATAGCTTGAGGTTTTGTTATTTTGAGGTGGTAATTATGCTAACTACTTCATGATGTTAAACTTTATTTGTCCATTATAGCTTTGTTTAGATAAGTTTAGCGATTTTCTTGTCGACTAGCCATTATGGCCTTATAGAATATATGTATCCGTGAAAAGACATTTATTTCTAGCTTGTTAGATCTGAATTAAGGTGAGGTTAGACAAATTTTGGATGTTACCTTTGTGGCTGATTAGGTGGTTGATGATACTTGGAGTGGTCGGAAGGGTAATGTTTTGGACTAAAACTTTAAGTGAGCCTATGATTGATTGATTGGGTGATTATGGGTATACTAAGTAGAGCAATAAAATGTGGATGCACCAGGTAGAGTGAAGAAATGGGTTCAATATTGTTTCTTGTCTGCTTGTTTCTTACTTGTAGTGGATGGAGCGGCCTTTGATGAATATAAAGCCACAAGGATGTAAGGAAGGGTCACCATTTTCTTCATAATGGTACATATTACTGTCTTCATTTGCTGATCCTGTAGATAGAAGCGAATGGATGAAATTGATCTTTGTAGGTGACCGTGAGAGACAAATTCTTGTATCGTGCAGCCAAGCCAACCTTTTAGAAATAAGGGTTTGATCTTGTTACCTACTTACCTATTGATTCTTTAGCTTTTCCTATGAAAGATATATTCTTTGTCAAGCATCCTTATATGTTACTTGTTTTATTATAGGACAGAATTTCTCTAGTTGTTGCTATGTGTTTTGAGAGGGTTATGACTTGTGAGAACCTTTTTTTTTTTTTTTTTTTTGTTAAAGTATGGGGGGAGGATTAAGGAAATTGTCCAGTGGGTTGGGATTAGGTTTGCTAGTTTAAAAAGGTATTTGGGTTGGGTCTTGGTCCTTTGTAGTCTAAGGCCCATCTCTTTGGTGGATAAATGGTTATCGTTTCTTCTGAATCATACTTCTTTTTAGCGTCAAATCATCAAGTACAGACGTGATATTCCAAGAAATTACTATAATTTTCCTTGGTTTCATTTAATGTTGGCATTGGATGAGTTTGAGTCTGACTTATGGAGAAATGCATGGAATAATAACTTTTATGTTTCAATTCCTCATCCTATAAACTCTTTCTTACAAAAGCCTCTGATTTTCATTTCTTGTTTAGAGAGGGTGTGTTCTCTTTGTGTAATTATTATATTAGATTAAATTCTAAAGATTGAAGGTTGGGTGAAAATTTTGGTGGGATTTTAAGAGCTAAGACAATCCATTCTTGTATAGTTTTAGTGACTTAGGAGCAGGATATTTGATTTGTTTTCTCAATATTTCATATATTACTGCATTTCCTTTTTCTGTTCCAGTTATCCTTGGAATGCCAAGGTTCCATAGAAAACCAAGGCTTTAATGTTAAAAGCAATCTCAGATAGGTTCTGCTAAAGTAGAGACCTGGTAAGTGCTGCTTAGTTCTTACATCATATATTTCTTCTTCTTATGTAGTGGGAAGTAGAGAAGTGTAGAGGTTAAATATTGCATTGTGGCCTTGCCTACTTTTTGCAATTCAAGGGGACCAGATTGAATGTCATTGAGCATTTGCAGGCCCCTTATGTTACTTGTAAGGGAATTTCTACGGCAATCAACTGGTTTGATTATGCCATGATTTCTGTGGTTTTATAGTACATATTCTAGTTTGGAGTTTGTAGGGTAGAGTTGCGTTTATTTCTTTTTGATGATGTTATCTCCAAGGCATCAAGTCTAGGTTGAGTGAAAATCAATTTTGAGAGGATTCCTGGTCTTCTTTTAATGTGATACGTAAGTTATCTTTCTTATTGATGGCTTTTGTTTCTGAATAAGGTCATACACGTTTGTGTATTTCTTAATAGTGAAGGTATCCACTTTCTGAGGTTCCTATAGCTTACTTTATGCTATCAATGATAACCAGCTGGTAGTTTAGTTTTAGATTTTCAGCTATGGTGATTGCTTAATGGGGACATATTGTAGTACTTGAATTTATTGTGAATAGCCACGATATTGTTGGGTTGAGCAGTATGGTGATAAATGAGATGAAAACTTGAGTGTGGCTATTATGGGAAGTTGATGTTAAACAAAAATTGAGCTGCAGCTGATCTATACTTAATTAGTGAAACTCAATGCTGCTTCCTTCCTCCACTACCAAAGAAATCTGCGATTTTTTTTATGTATATATTGTTGGTCTTGATTGACATGTTTGTTGTCATCCCAGATCCATGTTGATGGATTTTGGTTCTCTTGACTAATTTATTTCTGGTCATTGTCATCAAAGCTTTTGTATGCGTACAATTAGCTTTCTTTTGTTTTTTTTATTAACCAAAAGCTTTCACTTATTTTTATTTCTCCAACTGCCCTTGATGGCTCTGCCATTTCTTGAGTATTCTAGAGTTTATTATCGGGAACACTATCCAAATATCAGTGCCTTGGTTGAACAGTTTAATCATGGTCATTATGGAAAACTGATTATACTAGTTAGTTTCTGTATATAGGTGTAGATGGTTGAGATTATGAGAGATTGCCTATCTGTGAGTGCCAAAATTTTATTTGCATGCTTCCTTGCTAGATGAATAAAGCTTTCCTACCTGGTGATAGTTCTGGCTTCCTTATTATTTTTGTTATTTTAGTAATTTAGAATTCCTCTTGTGAACATTTCCTGAGTGAAAAAAATCCAAAATGCCTGGCTCATATTTTGTAAGCATTATTTGCCCTTGCTACTTTCTTCTATATGTATATTGAACTTGATCTTATAAGGTTTGATCTGGTCTAATGTGATCCAATCCTTCTTATTGCAGCTATGGAAATTTTGCAAGGAGGGTCGATCTTCCTGCATGTTAGATGGGAATATATAAGGTACTGACTTCTTGCCTTCATTATTTTACTTATGTTCTTAGCACTTCTCTAGAATTTGTTGTCTGACAAGGAAATGAAGATAATGTTCTTTTATTTTTGAAAATTGGTATTCAATATTAGGTTTCCGTCTGACGTGGTGACAATTTAGCTGTTTGAATGGTTTGTTTGTGAAGGTAGCGTAGTACATTGATAATTAAGCAATATTTGATCACTGCTTGTTTTTTTGTAATGAACTGATATAACTTGCACTAATAATAGCAAAATATCGAGAAAAGATTGGTTCTTTGATTAGCTAGGGGTTTGTTTGGCATCACTATGGTTTCTGTTTTTTGGTTTTTTGTTTTTCAAAATCATATGATATATGTCATATAATGAATAAAAAAGTCAAATTATTAAACTCATGGTAACTTTGAAAACTGACAACAGAAAAATGAAAACACCTTTTTCTCGTTTTCTGAAAACTGAAAACAAAAAACAATGCCAAACAAGCCCTAAATAATCTGATTTTTGGTAAATAGATTTGTATAAAGAAAAATAAGAAAGATGGAAGCTTTACTAACAAATGATAATGGTGAAAGGGTTACAAAAGATAGGCTAATAGCTCAAGGCTATCAATCTTCGATAGTGAGTTTAGCTCATAACTCTCCAAAAGGTTCTCACCAAATTTCTCACCAAAAGGTTCTCACCAAATTTCTGTCTCCCTGTTTCCTTCCCTTCCCTCTCTATTTATATTAAGGACTATTAACCCTAATAAACTAATAAAACTAGAATACCTATACTACCCTCCAAGTTAGTCTATTACAGTTTCAGATAAATGTTTTAAAGATAAAGTTATATAAAATTGGAGATAAATACCAAATATTTGAGAGATATGATGCTCTCTCAAACCTAACTAAGAAAAGCTAAAACAAAATTTTCAACTCTTCTCATTATCCTTCTCTTCCTACCCTCTTCTCTTCTCTTTAAATTGGCATTAATATTCTCATTTCTCTCTAACTTATTTCCTGATTGTTTCCTCAAGTTTCCAAACCGATTATTTGTTCAATTCTTATTATAACCCTCATATGGCTGCTTCATAACCATGGTCTCAATTTTGGAGGCCCAATAGCAAACAGTTTGGGAATGTCAGATAGTACTTAAGCTGGAAAAATCTATTAAATATTATACCTTGCCTCCGTTTTTCAGTGAACAAGTCAAATATCCAGCATTGGCTTTGTGGTGTTTTTTTTTTTATTTTTTTTTTATTTTTTATATTTTTTAATATATATCCCTTTTTTGCATTTGAGCAATGCTTAAAAAAGCTCAAAGGTGCAATGAAGTAATTGACTGAAGTGTGCCTAGGTGCGCCTCTGTGAATGCGCTTTTGGTGCATCTCTTTGAATGTACTCTCTACCTTAAATGGCTAGCCTCTCAGCGCCTAGATACGCTTTTTATACACTATGCGGGGAGTGACACCTTTTCCCCTTCCTCACTCACCCTCTCTTTCTACTTTCTTTTATCTTTCGCCCTCAACTTTTTCCATCCATTGTTTCTGAACTTCATCTTCATCTTCCATTATTTATCTTGCTCATTGAAAGTTGAAACCTCATAGCTGAGAATCTGTCTACATCAGTAATCTATACTTAATATTTAAAAACTCAATTAAGGAAAGACACATGTCCCCATCCTATTACATTGCCCTATTTCTTTTCTAACCCAGTACGCCACATGTCTTCTTACATTTATAATTTTTTATTAAACTATCTTAACTCTTTCATTAAACTTATACTTCATCTCTCAAACACACTTTGTCTTCATCTCCCCTTTTCAATTCAATTTTTTCTGTCTCTCTTTAATTTTAATCTCTCCACCTTTTTAAAAGCCTCATTATTGATTAAAGTACCAAAAATTTAATTTTTTTAATCATGTTTTCGATTATACATTACACCCATAATGATTTATTTGTATTTCCTCACTCGCTTCTCAATGCAATTTTCTATTAACAACTCGTGCATTGCAAGCTTACTATTCAAACTCTTACCATATGTAAAATACACGTAGTCGCATATGTGCTATTGGCCTATTGCATTTGTTTTGTTTTTGTTTTTTTCAATACAGTTTTGCAAATTCCCTTCAGATTTTGATTTGATGAAGATTAACTTATCCGAAATTCCCTTCCCTTAATTTTTTTTTCTTAATTTGGATTTGAGAGATAAGAAGAGAGAATGATATGGATTTTAGAGAGAACAGGATGTTGCCTTGGCTAAGCCTCTTCATTATGAAGGTGCTCTTATAATGCGGGTAAAAAAACTCCTTAACAATAAAAGCCATTTGGAAATAATTTAGAGAAGAGGAGAGGGATAAACTCATATGTTCATAAATCATCAAAACTTATTCGTACAAGCCTACTCATCTTTATATTTATATGTTGGTTACCCTAAAAACTTCCTAATAATACCCCTTGAATTGCTATTGGGAATTCATTATTGAATGCAAGGAAAAGCTAAAAAAAATGGTAACTAAGCCATCGGCCGATCGAGCATGAATGGAGATTTCCAAAGTTATCATAAGAAAACAATAAAACCTTTATGATCGGGTAGACTAAGGAGCAAAGAGACCTTGAGCCATCACTTGACCCCACGGACAATCACTACAAGAAAACACGCTATTTTCGATGGGTTCTTTCCGATGGCCACCTAAAACCGTCAGAAAATACGTAATTTCCGATGGTTTTTAAAAAATTTTGATGGATGAAGCTGTTGGAAATTTCCGACGGTTGTAGTAAGCATCAAAAAACATATTTCCGATGATTTTTCCGATGGCTTTTCCTATGGCTTTTAAAGCCATCGAAAAGTATATAATTTCCGATGGTTATTAAAGCCATAGGAAATTTTCGACGGATTTTGAGCAATTTCTGATGGATTTAAGCCATTGGAAATAGGCTCTTTTTTTGTAGTTAATTCGCCTAATCTGGCATGAATCAAGAACTCCAAAATCTTCCAATGAAAACAAAAACCGTTTTGATTGAGTATAACGGAAGGAACAATGACACTTTGAGCCATCATGTTCGGACTCCATCAAGCAAATCTTTGAAAGGAACCTAATTTGGCGGACCAAAGAAACAATAGACCTTCACGTATTAATCTGATGAAATAGATTCACCCTACCAAGGCTTCATTGGCAAGTGAAGTAAGAAATATCCCTTCATACAATTGATAATCAACACTTTATCACCTAAATTACGTCTCATAATAAGAGTAAAATCTGCTGTGGGACGCATGCCTGACCCATGTAAGTAAGATGATCATACAAATAGTCGTGTTTGGCAATAACATGACAGAGCTTTATCAGTTCAGATGTATATAATCTATCCATGAGTCTCGTGGATGCTTCTGGGAGATCATGCTCAAATTCGTTATTTAAAAGCCTAGGTAGTTAAATTTTCAGTTTTTGTCCCCCTCTATGAATTCAACTAACTTTCCTATCTCAAACATTTCTTTATAGGTGGTTGAGGCATCATGCCTTGCTTATGAGAGTTTGGACAATGCTGTGGCTGTGATACTTGGCGCTCGGCATACCTTTGAGATAATGCTAGATAATAAGCAAGTTGTTACTTATAAACCAATTTAAAATTTACATTGGTGTCATTAATTGATTTCCAACACAAAGACTCTTTAAATCCTTGATGCATTAATAATTAATTTAATAAAAACGCACTAGTGGCTTCTGCTTTAGTGTATTAGAACATCTCTAAGGACTCTAATGGCTAAGCTTGACTAGTTGTAGCTTGACTTGCCTCTTCAATATTCCGAGCTACACCATTTTCCAATAGTAAGATGCAACTGGTGTAGCTTAAATGACCCCACATGTCAATCAATGACTTTCAATAATTTTGTTACTTCATCCGTTATTAATTAATTGCAACAAGGGGATATTATTTTGAGACATAAAATATTCCTTTGTTGCATTTAATATTTAATGGAGGAAGCATTTTTCTCCAACTAACAAGGAAGGTAGCTTATTTTGGCAAGGATTGAAGATAGATAAGCACAACTAAACATTATAATGGTGTAAATGGTACGGTCAAGCTAGTTCTTCTATGTGATTCCATGATTTTAAGCTACGACAAAATGCTATTGAAGTAGCCCTTACCATACTATAGCAGAAGCCACTAAAACTAGTGTCCCTCCTAAAAGCATTGAGGCTTTATAGCTAGTAGGTTTTAGGCAAATTTCATAACGTTATATTATATACATACTTTACAACTATAAAGCTGCTGCTCCTAGAAACTTGGCATTGGTTTCTTAAGCTTTGCTGAAAGACAAGGCATTTCAAGCTTAGTGATCCTATTATTAGACTAGGTATGGGTGCAGCTTGGTAGTAGTCACTTGGAGAAAAAAGAGGGGGGGGGGGGGGGGGGGGGGGGGGGGGGGGGGAGGGGTCTTAAATTGATAGCCTCGAGGATGGGGGAGGGGGTTGCGAATGCCTCCTTGATTTGGAATGACTGAAGTAGGGTTCAGTTAAGGTTGGCTTTATGAGTTTGATGTTAGATTTTCCTTGTGATGTAATGTTATAATTGCAGTTTAATATAAAATTCGTTTTGTACAGGTGGGCTCTTTTTGATGATTTGTCACAGCTCAGAATTCACTTTTTGGAAGCTTGCAATACAATGCTGCTTATCAACAGGGAATTGACTTGTGCATTCTGTCATGGATTATATGATAATTTGCCATCTCAAAGAAGTGTTGTCTAATGATGACAAATAATGAGATGGGAAAAAGGCATGCTTCATGAAAATCATCTTCAAGTGGGAGGGGAGGAGGGTAAACCTTGGCTGAGGTAGCCTATTTCTACACAGAATGGCAGCGAGGAAAACGGAAAAGATGCAGGAATCTTTAGTAACAGTCTTGCACACGTCTTTGTTGTACCCTCTATAATCACCCGAAACTTCTCTTGATTTCCATAAATTGGTTTTTGACAACATGCATACGACTTCAGTCACGGGGCACCACCACTAAACCACCATGGTTTTGACACCAAATGAAATACTTTTCCAGTACCTAACTAATTTGTGCACACCTCTTCAACCATAAATCCACCATCACTACCTTGTTCAAATGCCAGCAACTATCATCTTGCCACCACTTGAAACATTTTTTTATCAGTCAAAAAACTGCTGGTGACTCGGTTTATTGTCTCAAGTAAATTGACATTTTGTAACTCTGGTGTATTACCATTGTATCATATCATGTACCAAATTATGATTTACATTGAAGTCATTAGTTAATTTTCTGTTTCAAGGTAGTTTTTCAAACATAAAATTTACTTCCTCGTTGCTTTTAGCTGACACGTCACGTTTGTCAATGCACAAGTTTAACCGTTAATATCTTTTATTACTGAAAAGCAAAAATTATGAAATGTTGATATTTTGAAAAAATATGCCGTGACGAATCTAACAAGACCTCGCATAATTATATTTTTCATTACGTATAAATCATAAAACGCGATTAGAATTAAGGGTGTGAATAGTGTTAAACTCAAAACGTGTTAATTAAAAAGAGTAGGGTAATATATTTTTTTTTCCCAAATCATAGAAATGTCTAAGGCCCCGTTCTTTAGAGCTGCTTTGCTCTGCTCTGCTTTGCTAAAATCTGCACTGCTGTGCTTCAATCTGCTCTGCTCTGCTTAAAATTAGTACTTAATATTGAATTATTATAATAATAATTAATATTCAATTAAATAATAATAATAAATAATTAATATGTAATATTTAATAATACTAATTAATAATAAGAATAATAATAAATAATTAATATTTAATAATAATAAATAATTAATATTTAATAATAATAATTAATACTTAATAATAATAATAACAATAATTAATTATTGATATTTAATAAAAATAATATTAATTATTAATTATTAATATTTAATAATAATAAATTATTAATAATTAATAAAAATAATATTATTAATAATAATAATAATTAATATTTAATAATAATAATAGTAATAATAATAGTAGTTATACTAATAGTAATAATAATACTTATACTAATAATATTAATTATAATAACAACAAGTGATTTTTATAATAACAATTAATATTAAGATAATAACTAATATTTAAAGATAATACTAATTATTAACTTTTAATAATAATAATAATTATAATTAATATAATAATAATAATTAATATTTAACTTTAAAAATTTAATAATTATAATAATAATGTGATAATATTAGTAGTAGTAGTAGTAGTAGTAACAATTAGTAATAGTAATAACAATAATAATAGTAATAACAATAGTAATAATAATAATAACAGTAATAACAGTAATAGTAATAACAGTAATAGTAATAGTAATAGTAATAGTAATAGTAGTAATAGTAATAATAGTAATAATAGTAAGGAGAAGGGAATGAAACCATATCCTATCGCCTGACATCGAGCTTCATACTTAACCCGCTTCCGATGAGCTGCATCAGCCACAACCCGCCCAGGAATGAAGTCAGATAGCCCTGACTGTGTCAAAGGAGAAGACCCTGCCAAATCTACACAGACATCGCGACCACGATCCCATGAATAAAGTAACACATCGGCGGGTCTGAGGGCCTCGTCGTTCCCTCCGGCCAACCCAATGTCAACCTCTTTTCTCGCTGAAATCCCAGAACGATAGCAAACATCAACAAGGGTATCCTGAACAACATTATGCCGATGTTTAATACCCACAATACCAGCACAAGACATCGTGTGATCACCGAAAATATCTTCAGCTAAAACCCTCGAACAAACAGAGCACAACGTCGAGATAGAGAACAATGGAACACACAGCAATAAGTCTTGGCGTTCATCGTCTGACCCAACCCTAAAATAGGAACCGCCCGAAGCCAAGCAGAGGTGTGATCACCCTGCTATGATTTCTGTTTCGGGGTTTTCTGATGTCCTGCGGGAGAGTTACAATTCCGAGACTGGAACCGGACGCCTGTACCTGCAAAATAACGGAGACTCCTGAGAGCTCCGCCTCCAACGGTCAAGTTAGTACCTGATTAAGGAGTAATCAATACAGAAATTAAAGTAATCAGATCTCTCTAGGTGAGAGTGCTTAGTGTTGGTAATCTGTGTTGTTAGCGAGATTAGCCGGCTGTTAATAAGTCTGTTCTCCTCTGCTTGATCTCTTAATTATTCGGTCCCTGATTAATGAGGATTAATCGGGTATTTATAGCCTTGGGAAGCGTGCAACTCTCTAGGTTTAAGGTAAACCTAGGGCTGATCGGGCCTCTAGACTGAATTGGGCCTTGATGGCCGGTTGTCCCATTTGGCATGGGTGGACACGTGGCGTGTCTTAAGTGGTCCGTGGAGGACGTATCTGTGACTGACACGTGGCAAGCTCCTGTTGGCCTTCGTGAAGGACACGTGGCGGAACCTGGTTGGTCCACTTGTCAGACGGTGATTGGTGGATAAAAATCCCCTAATCATTTGCCCCTCACAGGTGGCACGCGACTGGTCACGTGTCGCCTGTGACAGGTGTCGCACGGTGACAGGCGACGGCCCGTTACAGGTGTCACCTTGCAGACGGCCGAGAGACTTTCCCGCCCAAATTTTGAATTCGGAAGCGACCCTTCGCCTTCTCATTTTGCCTATAAAAGGAAGTGCTGACTTCGGTCATTTTCACATTTGAGAACTTTTGCGAGAACATTCGGACCCCTGAACTTGCTCTGACATTTCGGACTTTTTCTGCCTACCGCCTGTTCTGACAAGCCGACTGACCCGAACTTCCAGGACTTCATCAACCGTCACCCGTTCAGGTAACTCAGTTCTCTTACTCTTAATTTTCTTTTTATTTTTTGAAATGGCACCATGGAAGCACACGACACGCCCTAAGTTAGTGATCAGCCGGTCACCGGGGACGGCTGAATCTAGGACTAGGAGTGCCGCCTGCCCTTTTCTGGACCCATCTTTGCCCTTTATACAAAGTCCGATTGAATCTGTGTCTATGCAGAACGTGATGGCCAGAACAAAAAAGACTGCTATGATATCAAACTCAGACGGCTCCTCCCAAAGGGTGCTCCTTAGCGAAACATCTGACCAGGCGCCAGATGTAGAACGAGGCGACTGTCAAGCTGACAGTTCTGAGAGAGGGACCAAGGTGTTCCCTTCTCATCTTACCGTGGACATGTCTAATTTTCCTTCTGCTCCTTCTAAGGGAGAGGAGGCGGGCCCCTCTAGGAGAGGGGAGGAGTCGTCCTCTTCGGACTCGTCAGGGGACGAGTCCGAATCCAGCTCTTCTGACCATAGTTCTTCTGGCTCAGAAGAAAAACATAGCCGCCTACAAGAGGCGAGAAGTTCTCATGCAGTGGAGAAGGGGGATAATTGGGCAGAGCCGTCCGCCTCTTACAGAGAGGAAAACGCCCCCTACTACTGCAGGGTACCCCGGGGCCGGATCGCAACAATGCGAGACAACGTGGCGAGCTTTATTGCTAACCACAAAATGGGCCCGGAGTATTTACTGTTTGTGCCGGATCCAGAAGATACTGTCGTCTGGCCGGCTGGTACCAGCTATGGTGACGGCTGCTTTGGCTGCTATGTGGCGGCCATCAAAGCTGGACTGCGCTTCCCATTACATCCGGCTGTTCAGCGGATTTTAGATGGGTATGATCTGGGGTTATGGCAGTTAGCCCCCAACTCTTGGGTAAACGTACTCGGCTATGTGGCCGGGTGCGAACTGAACGGGGTGGAGCCAAGTTTTGAGGCTTTCGCCCACATGAACTATCTCAGCCGGACCCCTAAGTCGGGAGGTACCGGCTGGTATCAATTAACAAGCCATAGGGGTTACCTCATGACGAGAGGTAAGGCAAACAAATGGAAGGATTGGCGGAACACCTTCCTTATTATCGAGAGTTCAGACACGGAGCTGAACAAACGTTTTAACAAATGGAACAGGGATCCGCCTCTTCTCGCAGGCGGCCGCAGCATGCCGCCTGTTCCCCCAAAAGCTAAAAAAGAGATCCTAGACAAAGGACTCTTCAAAGTAGAGACTAGGGTGAACTCTACTTCAGGGGTACGAGAGCAAGTACCCCTTAATTGCGTCCCGAGCTTCAAGTGGCTCTATGACGAGTACTTCTTGGCCGCCTGTGGCCTCGGCAGTCGGTGCTCTAGAGGTAGCCGGCCTGACGAAAACTCTGTTTTTTCACGCCTTGTTTACTTGGGATTTTTACTAACTTTGCTGTTTATTTCTTTCAGCCGACGCCATGAGTAAAATAACGGCATCTAAGACTGCGGCGGCCATGCTGCGGGTCTCGCTAATGAAGCAGTCGTATGCCGACTCCCCCAGCAAGGAGGCACCCTTGGTAAGCTTTGAAAACTCTTCTCCTTTTAGTTGTAATATGCATATACTAACTCTTTTTGTTTTCAGTCTGGCACTCCAAGGGCTTCTTCCTCGCAACAGCCGGACCCCAAGGCCCGGAGGACGACTGTTGCAAGCTCTCCTGGGTCTTCCAGGAAAACAGTGGCGGCTGAGAAGCAGCCGGCCACTTCTTCAAAAACCCAGGCGGGGCCGCCTAGATGTATGGACCCTCACTTGTAAAAAACTCACCCTTGCTTCCTTCTTGATTAAGTCTAACTTGTTTTATCCTTTTACTTAATGCAGCCGGCCCCCAGGGACTTGACTTGGTTGAGGTAGCCAAGTCAATGGTTAAAGTAGTTCCTCCATCTGACAGGGAGGCGGTCAAGGGTGCCGGCACCCTTGACCTCGATGGAATTTCAGGGATCCTAGCTGAGGTATACTTAGCACCTTTTTGAGCTTTTGAGTTCCAGGACGCCTGTTAACTCTTTTGATTGGAAACTGACGCCTGTTTTTATTTGTACTTAGGCCCTGCTCCGAGTCAACAGCCTTCGCAAGCCGATTGATCGGAAAAACAAAGAGGTAAAGGCCGCAAAGGCTATGGCCGCCTCCAGCTGTGATAAGGCAATGTTTCAAATTGCCCAAAATGAAGTACTGACCATTGATCTTCTTTATTATCAGGCGCAGGCGACCGCCGCTGTTCGGGCTCAGCTAGAGGCGGCCCAAAAGAAGGTTGACGAGCTGGAGGGGACCGTCACCAAACTTAAAGCCGAGCTGAAACCCCTTCGCCAGAAAATGCACTCTTACGAAGCCATGGAGAAATCTTTGGCTAACGTAAAAGAACGCCTGGTGAACCAGGAGAAGAGTCTTACCCAAGAGCTCTCGGACAAGGCCGAGCAGGAGAAACAAGAGCTCGTCCGGGAGATGGTGGAAGACTCCGCCCA